ATCAATCTTCTGAAGTTGTTAAAAAACAAAAAAAGGGGGTTGAATTTCAGGTCATTTTCTGTTGACCAAACTGTTGGTGAATAAGATGGCGGAGACGGCGAAAGCGACGGGGGTTGAGGGCCGGATAGTGAACGTGTCGTCGAGCATCCACGGCTGGTTTTCTGGCGACATCATCAAATATCTCGCCCAGATTAGCCGCAACGGAAGGTCGGTATAAAATAAAATAAGAAGAAAAGAAAAATGAAACAGTAAAATTAGAGTTTGACCAGGGGAGGGGAGTATTATTGTAATATTTTATTTAACGTGCAGGAATTACGATGCGACACGTGCTTACGCGCTCTCCAAGCTCGCTAACGTTCTGCACACCCAGGAACTTGCTCGCAGATTGAAGGTGAATCAACGAACCTTCCTCTCCATTATAATATTATCTAATAACTACTCTTTAACTAAAACGTTGGTGTTTGTTTTCTCTATTTTAAATTTTCTTTCAAATCTTAATTTTCGTTTTAATCATGATTATTTGGACTCAGTTTTAATTTGGTCTACTTCGAGTTTGAGCTTAGTTTTAGTTAAATTTTTTTTACCACTTGAAAATTTTACTTATTTTTTTCTTTTTCTTTAATTCAATCCTAAATCTTAATTCCAATTAGCTAAGACACTGCTATGCTACATAAAAAATAATTATCATTATAATAACGCTGGAGAAAAGATAAGAGTTGAATTTATATTTATTGTATGATTCGTAAAATTATATGGCTAGCTTTTTGGAAGTTTAAACATGGACTAATTTGTTGCTACTTTCTTTTTTCCCTTGATTGATTTAGCAAATGGAAGCCAACGTTACTGTAAACTGCGTTCATCCAGGAATTGTCAGAACTCGACTCACCAGAGATCGTGAAGGCTTCATCACAGGTATGAATCTTCTTTAATTAATTTCCCTTTTTTTCTTTACCGTAATCTGAATACGAAAATTGAGAATTTAACTTTTTTTTTTTGGCAGATTTGGTGTTCTTTATGGCTTCCAAGCTGTTGAAGACAATCCCTCAGGTACTGCAATTTAATTAAAAAGAAAAAAAAGGGCAAAAACTTTTTTTCTATGGTTCCAAAATTTCGTTTTCTGTTTGTTTCCCGAGAAAAGCAGAAAAAGGCTATAATAAATAGACTGACAGAGGCGGTTCTGACGTTCGTCTTCCACAGGCGGCGGCAACGACATGCTA